TTGTTTGGCGAGATTCATATTCGCGACCGCTCTCATATCGACAATGCAACTCTTCCTCTTTCCTTCTGTTGCATTTAACTAGTGAATTCTTCTGTCTGTAACAGACAATGAGGATGAGAGGTGTTTTCTCGTCTCATCTAGTCTGATAATTTGACAACACTCACTTTTCTTTGTGTAGTTGTATTTTTAGCAAGCCATTCCAATATTGACTCAGTATAATACGCAGTACGTTGTTAGTACAGTACGTTTTGATATGTCCGTAATCTAAACCAAATTTCGGTAAGACCAAATGGTGCTGGAATTTCTGCAGCAATCTCGTTCTCGTTATGACCAATGTTACTGAATTGGTGGCTTTTTCGACGTTAAGATAATGAAACATCGTGAATTTACCACTGTTATACGGAATCAACCATAAATTGCTTCCGATTCTCTGTCGTGGAGCGATACTCATGGAGAGCTTGATGACTGTCTTCGTAATCCTTAGCATTCCTTCTCAGAGCTGATTGCGTAGAGCCCACTAGAGAATCTAGTATCAGCTCCCTGACGATGAGCCTCTCAACTAACCTCAAAATCCTTCACGTGAGAAGGGTTTACCGGAAAATAGTCTACCTTTCCTTATTTATCGTGTATATAACTTCAACAAGACAAACTAACTCTACGCGACTAGTGTACTTCGAAAAGGAAGTGCAAGGATTTCTAAATTATAGCAAAAATGCTGAAAATAGAATAAGCGAAGGAGAAAATGTGAAGTAGCTTATTAGTTTTTGTAAAAAGAACTTTGTTCCTTTTCAGAAAGGATGTCGAATTGCGAATTTTTTATGGCGGTTGGCGGTTTACTACTGCTTTTATTCATTTTCTGGACAAAGATTTCATTGACTCTCTACCATGGTTATACGCAAATTGAAAGAGAGTCATTCTATCGATGGAGAATATCAAATGGCTCTCATAAGACTAGAAGTAAAACATTCCCCCCAACACCTGTATAGATGAAACACATTTCTATATTTATGTTCTCGCAGCAATAAAATTTTCGCAAAACTAAAGCGTTGACAGAGCATATCATCATCAATTAACTAGAGCGGATACCAGTAAATTTCTTTTGCGCTCACATCAGATCTGTTCTTGAGCTCTATCTGGTCAGAGAGATGTATCGAAATCTTCATATAATGCTCTTATTCTATAGTTTTTAGCACGAACCGGCCACGGGTGACTCGTCCGGCTCCCTTTCAGCATTGGTTTATGCCGAGTTAACACACAGGATAAGGATGCCGAATAGCTCAGTTGACACAAATAAAAGCCATGTTGCAGGATGAATCCCTCGGTCCCTTGTACTTCATCACCCACGAACACCTTTGACTATAATGAGGCGAAAAGGCATGGCATCTCATGGTTCTAATAAAGTACGATTATCTGGAACGTCGTTGAAAAATGTAGAAAACCTTGATAATTTCTTTGAACTTTGTTTTCAACTCATCGACAACATAACGGCTCATTTACAACAGTGGCAGTATTACGTTCACAGAAAGAAAAACGGTGTTTGCAATGGTCACACGCAGAGTGTATTGTGCACGCCGGTCGATTTGATTAAAAGCCTATCAAAAATTCGATCAAATTAAGCGACTAGGAGGTAACATAAGAAGCACTAGATATTCAGTACTACAGTAGGGCTTCACAAGCTTTCGGTAGGTTTTTGGGGCTGCAATAAGTTAAGCAAACAGTCTCATTACGCTGGTGTCGAAAGACCTTTCAAACAGTGTTCTAGGAAAATTGAGCACAGAAAACGTTTTGAATGGATCATTGAACGTCGCTTATGATGCCAAAAAAACTATTTCCCGAGGACTTAAACAGTAGTGGAGTCTGTGGTGTTAGTATTATCGTTGAATGAGTCTTGCTATGAACACTGAATTCTTCAAATAACTAACCACCAAATCCGATGCTTGTAATTGAAGCGATATGGATCAATGCCGGCTTGACAATCTTTGTAGTCTAGGCCCTAACGTCGAACTATGACAAAGATGAAGTACAAACATTGTACATGAAATTCGAGGTTTTGCAAAAAAGATCATACGGCCTATAAGGCCACCATTAACAACATAACGGCCAAGGTAAGCCGACCGGAGGCGTGTGGAAGACTTCACAGCAGCGTATATCCACTGGAAAGGAAAACTAAGGCAAGCGACTGTTACATTTTATCACGATAACCATCATTAATAGTAGCTAACAATGACAAAAACCTTTCTTTCGCGGTTAGGCCTAACTAACGTGGAGCGTATGGACTTACGTCCGAACATACAAAATTCTATAGAGAGGCGATAACTAGAGATCAAATAGAGGAAAGAAAGGCAGCAGTAGTAGCTAGTGCTGCAAAATAAGAGGACCGTGAAGTAAATATACGCGACATGAGCATATGAATAAATCGGCCACCTCGATAGCAGCCTCTAACCGACTTCATGGTACTAAATTTGCACATCATTAATTCCTTACTTTGTGTTGCTTCTTATCAGTTTTTACGGCAGGGTATTATGCGAAATGCAATCACAACGATGCATGCTGAGATATTTGCAAAACTTCGGACTGCAGGTGTCTACGTTGGGGAACGAACGCGCTATTACCCTTTCCGGGGATAACGCTTTCACCGCCGTGCTGTGCTAGTCAATTGTTTCACCTATCTCTCATCCAGTTCTATCGATCAATGCCATCAGCAATCACCCGTCAATGGGATTGATCTGGGTAGCTCAAATGGGCAACGAACCCAGTTAAGCTGACGCTGTAGTTGAAATCACAATATTTTACTTTTTATTTCCTGTGCACAACATTTTTTTACGGTAGAGTATTATGCGAAATACAGCCAAAGCGATGATGAGATGTTTGCAAAGCTCCGGACAGCAAATGTTGTTTTTCGTTTTTTTCTTTTACGTTTTACTTGTTTTCCTTTAATAGTTTATTGTTTCCACAGGCGATCATGTAGAATTCCGCGGCCTCAAGGAAAGGCGTGACGTTATGCTCCGGTGGAGACTGCTCTAAGGATCATGTCGCACGCACAGAACACGAAACAGCCTTCATTACGCCCATAGAATTGTCTCAACGTGCAGTTTTGCTTCTATTCCAAAGAGTGCTGTGCAACTTGAAATTTAATCGCTTTCCACCGGTTACTCCACCGCAAATTGTCGACTAGTCAGAGTGTTGAAACGGTTTTTCTGCTGGTTGAACTATATGTTTCAGCCTGTAGTCCTGTGATAGTCTTGCTTTTCCAATCTATAGCGATCAGTAGCCGTTTATGAGTACGATATCGTAACTTCATGAGAACAGGTTGTTTCTCGGTATCGTAGAGCACATCGAATTCATGCGAATGCCCTGAGAAAACTAATGACAAGCATGCCAAAATAATCCAGTCTAATGGCTAATCTCATAGTAATTGACGAAAACTATCCATTGAAATTATTTCCGTCATAATTCTAAGAAGTGGTGGGTAGGGAAGTCACCTGTTGACCGACGACAGTTGGTGAAACAGACTTTGGTTTGGAAAACTCGTTGACAGTTATTTATCCAAATGGAATTTCTTGAGTATTAAAAATTCCCTCTAGATGGATTTTACTAGAGGTCCCAAATACGTACATTTTCTACAAGATTCATAATAAAGCACTCACTGTATGGTTCTCTAACCCAGAACAGGAGTTGTATTGGAATGTACTAAAATTGGTTTCAGAGCTACTGAAATACATCAAAACTTCACAAACCGGTTCCCATCTACAGCATTTGGTTTGCTACTTCTATAACCTAATTAACTGACTGTCTGTTTCGTTTCTATTCCAAAGGATTAAAGATGAAACACTCGACGTCAATCTCCTATAGATTCCACTCCATCCGTGACCTAGTAGAGGTGATTGAATGCATATTTAGCCCCATCAACGACTTGTGGTGTCCCACCGACGTAGATAGTCAGTTTTTTACCCTCCCAGACAAGTCTGGCAGTAATTTCGTGATGCTGGAGCAATGATGAACTTCGTTAGCCAAAGAAGTGGGATCCGGCCGACGATCGTGGGCATGGCAGGGCACCCCTAGTCACTGCGCTACATGAACTCCTTGATTTGCTCGTACTTTCTGTATTCTCTCGCAGTCACAACATGATCAATGTTATTCGATACTAAACGTTCTACAACAAAAGCGTACTTTTATATACAAACAACAACGAAACACCGCAGAAATCTATCCAGCACTTAGAGAAATTCAATATAATTACTATGGTGTCTTAATTAGAGGTGACAAATGCATTCGAAAAAAAAGAAAAGGAAAGAAAGGAGAAGAAAAAAATGACTATAAAAAGCTCATATCACTAAAACTCACGCTCTTTTTATTAGAAATCTATATTTCTGAAAATGACAGCTCCTATTTTAAAAAGAAACGACCAATTCAATGGCGTTCTACTAAAAAATGAGGAAAAGAAAAAACATTTTGCATGACATATTTTTTTTCCGTTCAAGAATTGGTTCATAAAACAATAAAGATCTATCACAATTCAGTAAATATCTGATGTTATAGATGAAAATAAATAAGGATACGATGACATTTATAATGAGGACCGTACCACTCAGAAGCATTAAATGTGGCTGAGCTCAGTCAGCATAGAGCACATCACGCTCGATTTTTTCCCGAAGGAAAAAAAACAGCATTTTTTAAATCAATAGTTGTTAACTATGTAAATTACATCAAATACAAAAAAGAACAATATTCTGAACCACATACACTTACTATAAGTGCAGTAAATAAGGAATACATATGAATTAATCATTGTGTGTGGCGTTAGAGAGATTGGACGATTTGGGAAGCAAAGAGGGTGATCTAGCTTGGGGTCCGAAAACCACTGTCTCTTGATAAAATGAGAAAGCAGGAAAACACAGCAACATAGACACAGTATTTGTGCGTAGATTAAAGATAATAGAACGAATAATTACGGATATTACGGTACGAACATCCTGCGGTTAACACGGATGTGATGGCAGTCATTGGTATTTAGCAACAGTCGCTGATCCTCGATGTGACGAAAGTTGAAGATATTTGTCGAATTCATGGGGATTAATGTCCTGTAAAACACAGGAAGAAAATTTCGTAGCTGATATTTTGATTTTCGCTTATTGTCAGCTTTGCCGCTACACCAATAACATTTCCTCTTACACTTACAGTAATTCTTATCCAGAAAACCATTTGCGTAACTCTTTAGTAGTTGTGAAAGCGAGGAAATGCACTAACATTTGTGGACCGATGTAGGCATGAAATACAGTAGATGAGAAATGAAGTAGGGGTACAGTAAGCAAGAAATATTGCCGAATCATTCCCTTTAGTGTGTTGTTCGTCTGTTAAGGGGCGCATGTGGCTCAGTGGTCGAAGGCGCCCTGCAACACACACGTGGAATCGATCCCGGCGCCCATGGTCCACCAAGCCTTCCATCCCCACCGAGGTAGGCAAATTGGTAGCAGACTTGTCTGAGAGAATAGCAGCACTGGCTCGATGCATCGGTAGGCCACTGCGAGTCATTGTAAAGGCCAGATATGCATTCAATCACCTCCAAACGATACTTAATGAAGTCGAATGCATGACGCATCCCTCAGGGACTAATCAAAGCCGAGAGCCCTATCCTTTTTTTAGTGTGGGGTTCGGGAGATTTATCGATTAGGAAACGGAAGACAGCAACGTTGACTGATTTTGGTTGACAGCAATGAAAGTACATATGGTACCAATTTTATGTATATCACATTTTATATAAATCACATTGTACTCACAAAGTTTCCCAATCATTTTAGTTTTTTCGGACTCTACTCAGAAATATTGAAAGAAAAAAAATCTCTTAAAATATAATCTTATAGAACAAACCGCAATGGCAACAGGGTCAAACCCTAACGAAGATGTATAGTCGACGTCCATGTTGGAGTCTGGCACAGCTCCGCTGTCGGTTGACATCGTTCGCTGAATCGTTAGAATTACTTCGAGAGTGTTCAGTTAACAGAAAAGTCAAAACAGAGTAGAAATATTGAAGCAAATCATTTTCTTCTAATATTTTATTCAACAATATTCCATAACTCATCAAATCTTTCCGAGTTAGTTTAACACATTCCGGACTGCGCACATGGATTTTAGTGCCTATAATGAGAAGATAATAACCACTTTCAACTTCGAAATGGCATCTCACAAACTCCATTGGACTTTACTAGCTGAAATAAAAGCCATACACATAGATCTTTTCCCATAAGATACACGTTTTCTTCGAGCTATCATGATGGAATTGTGATTTCTTTTTTGCATAAAACCTGTTTTTTGGACATTTTCACTAAGGTTCACAAGTGGAACAAGAAAACAATTGAACAAGTAGAATTTCCTACAACAGGACACGATGGGTTCCTGAATGCATGGTCGGCGCTTAATGACGTGACGCTTGCTCGGGGTTCTTCAAACAATTGAATTTCTTCCCCAATTTGTGAGAATTTTAGTTTCAAGCACACCTAAATTGAAAGAACATTTTGCGAATACTGTGTACATCTTTGGCAAGAGAGCGAAATCCCTTGTATAAGTCGGTAAAGTTCTTAACTCCTTAAATCCTTCGTTAATGGAGAATCGGCCGTTGTCGAATGACAAACTTCGTCGCGAATTTGTTAATTAATTGAATACTCGTCTAGATTTCTCAAACGCCACCCTTCAACCAAGTAAAAACTTCTAATATTTTTGAAAGCTTTGGATAAATTCACTTCAAGTTTTGGCATCAAAAGTGACTGTGCTAGAATTGTTCAAGTCATCGATACCGTCTCATTCACTAAATTGAGTTAATGCCTGACTACTAAGAAAACAAAACAAATAAGTGAAAAGATCTGAAAATCGAATTATGCGACGTAGATGAACCTCACCTCGTGGGCGAATTGTGGAGTAATGTGAGCGTGACCTGTCTGGTTAATTGGTGGATATGCCGTGTACTGTGTCTGGTCAGGCTGCGAAGCATGAAAGAATTTCGTATTGCTTCAATTTGGTTTTTACACTTTTCTCAGCATTTTTCTTTTCACTTTTAAATTTGCCGAGCTCTAAATCCGGATAAGGAAAAGAATGAAAGCCCTTTCTTTTCTGAAAAAAAAACGGGCAAACTAAAATAGTTGCAAGATCTATTTCCAAAATCTATTGAAGAAAAGGGCGTTACAGTCTGAAGTATTTCAATCTATAGTTTTTAAGGAATTGCAATAATGTGCTTAAAAATTACCATTAAACTTGTCGTTTGCATTGGAGACATGGCGCTATGATACTGTTGTGGGCTTTGATCAAGTAGCCCCTAAAATAAAAATGCAGCAGAAATAATAGTGGTAAGAACGTTTGACGCTGACAATCCATCTATTGTTTGAGAAAAGAACAAAACAAACTACGAGTATCATGAGTGATGGTTAAGGGCGGCAACTACATCATTTATACCGATTCGTACAAATTGCCTTTTAGGGAGAAAAAAAAGAAAGGATACAGGAAAAAGAAGTACTATTAAATTATCAAAAAGATGGACATTAGAAAAGTGAAAAATGTTGCCAAAAACTCTGTCATCCAAGCAAAGTATAACGATTAACACCATGAAAAAAGAAATAAAGGATGCGGGAATTTAAGGGAGGAAGGGAAGATAAGGAAATAAAGGGAGGAAAGGGAAACGACCATCAAGGAACAAAACCAAGAAGAAGAAAAAAGAAGGCATGTAAATGATTAGCGGATAATTTTGTAATGCTAACAACGCAAAATAGGTTGGAAAACAACTGTTAGATATCAGTTTTTCACCACTTATGCAACTATCAGTTAGAAACTTTTCCAACTCTTAAAGGATCTTCTCTACATGACTAGGAGAATAGAATCCGTAGCGATTCTAGCTAATTAAGCGTCGTTATAAGTAGGTATTGCGATAGACTTTTCACTAAGATAAAAAGAATTCATCATAAATATTACAAATAATCTCCGTCGCAGTACCATTTAGATAGCAGACCTGATTAAAAGGATAAACCTCTCAGCATTGATTAATACCTGAGGGATGCACCATGCATTCGGCTTCATTAAGCGTCGTTTGGAGGTGATTGAATGCATATCTAGCCTTTACAATGACTCGTGGTGGCCTATCGATATAGCAAGCCGGTGCTGCTATCCTCTCAGACAAGTCTGATACCAATTCGCCGACACGGAAGGCTTGGTGGCCCATGGGCGCGGGCAATGGATTCCACGTGTGTGTTGCAGGGCGCCTCCGACCATTGCACCACACGTAGAGCTGATTAGAGCACGATACTTCGAAATGCGATTTATCAAAGTGCGTCCGCACACTCTCGCAACTTAGTCACTGAATGAAAGCCTAGCTTACGTTGGAAACAAAGTGTGTCAGGTATGCATGCTGCTAAGTAGCCAAAAATTATCGTGAGATGTTTGGTGAATGCATGAACTTCTTCTGTAAAGCCTTATTTTGCTTAAAGTTGTACCCAGGAATCTCCATAGTCGTGACAGCGTGAGGAATTCTGTAATCTCCAACGAAAATTTTGCACTCTCTCACAGCTTTGGCATTACGACAAAGTATTTTTAGCAGAGAAAATCCTTCCAAAAGCGATTGGTAAACTTGGATACGGTTTCGTTGGGCAAACAAACGCTTAACGAAAATGGTTTCTTCGGCAGAGTTTATCAATAATTTTCAGACAGTGTCAGCACAACGTCTTCAATGAATGCTGCAAAAGTGGCAGCGAATTAGATCAGTAAGTAAGCGAGGTTAGACAGAGTATAACGTAAGATTTTCCGGATGTTGTACCCGGATATCACGTCATCCCTGACGCTTCTTTTGTCGTATCGTGAAGTTCTTTGATGAACGTATCGACGTCCACTATATGTGTTGGTAGGGGCAGGTACGTTGGCAAATATTTGAACGGTGCGCAAGTAAAAACAATACGGAAACGCGTACTCTGTCTGACCTGAAGGGAGGAGTACAATGGGCACCATTCATGAATTACAGATGAATTTGATTTCACTGCTGAAGGAAACAGAAATAGGCAGATAATGAATGAAGAGGCAATAAAATGACCGAGAAGACAAACCGATCGCAGCAATTGTTCTTGTTTTTCCAACATCACTGAGCGCTCGTTTTGTAACTCTTGTACTCGTTGATACGTTGACGAGTTAAAGTCCTAGAACAACGCCATGATAATATAAAAAATGAAAAAAAAACTTGCAATCAAAATTATGGTTTTAAATAAAATGAATCGTCGCCTGAATTACAGGACGAACAAAAAAAGAAATCACGAGAAAACGTGGTATTTACAGAAGTTCATAGAGAAAAAGGAAGAATGAATGACAAAAAATAGTTTTCGATGGTAAAGTAAAGGAAATGAAAGAGAAATGTTGGATTGCGAAGAAAAATGGAAGTTAAGAAAGGTTAAGAACTGATGGAACAGAACAATAAATAAAACAAAATATATATAGATATTAACGTTAGACCACACGAGTGAAAAAACCTAGGTCACTCTCATAATTTTACGAAAGTGCAGTAGAAGCTAACACAAGATAAGAAATAAGGAGTAAGCCAAGACAAGGTAAGTAATAAAGAGTAATCAAGTCTTTATATATACGATAGCGATCTACCTGCGCCGGCTGAATTTGCGTATATGCGTGCGGTGGTTGGTGAATAATTTGAGGTTGTGGGGAGAAATATGGTTGTTGAGATGGCTGCTGCTGAAACTAATAACATCGTAGAAAAATTGAAAAAGTTGAAATGATTACATTTCATATGAACACTGAATACCACGCCCCTGGTTGCGGTAGTAGCCATAATATTTGAAGGGAAAAAATGAATCGAAAACGTTACATATCGCATTTGAGTTGACCACATCATCCTTCAACAATTTGGTCAATCATTCAAACAAAGAAAAAAAAGAACTAAAGTTTCTCAAGTTAAATAGCACGGAAAACATAGCCCTACGAGATACAGCACGAAATTAACAAAAATGCAACGCTTTTTTCAAAAATTTCTAAGCAATCAATGAGAGAAAACTCTTCGTTTGTAACTTATTCAAACACTATGGGCAAAGAAACAACTGAGATCGAATCTTCGATAACTCACTTGCATAACACCGTGCTGATGGAATTGTTGCTGCTGCTGTTGTTGCTGCTGCTGTTGCTGCTGCTGTTGTTGTTGTTGTTGCTGCTGTTGCTGACATGCGTGTCTTTGACGAATTCCCTCCTCTTGCACATGTTCAGCTAGACAGTTATACAATAAATTAAAAACTTTAATCCGTGATAGTCGCTGTGATACGCACTAAGGAGTACTACTTTTAGAAGGAGTACAAACTAGTATATGCAGACAACTTCGAAACTTATTAAGAGTTACATAAATGATTTCTGATCTTTTAGCTGCTTCACCCTTGTGTAGACCAACCTTTCCAACGAATATTTGTCTAGAGAACGATGGCACTAGAAATACTGAACAACACCTGTATCGCCTGTAGCCCCGTTCAATGAGACTGCAGGATACTGTACATATGAGGAACAAAACTCACGTATTCTCGGATCGTACCACGTCGTTGTCTGTGTGTTGTGATCAACAAAATAACGATTGCCGAGTTCATCAAGTTTCATTTCCCAATTTGGCGGCAATGGACCGAGTGCGTTCATTTTCTCGCTGATCTGAAACAGAACAACGATAAGTTAATATTCGGATTCCATATGAAAGTTTTAAAAAATGAGAGGATATCAAAAATAAGTGAATAGTACGTCAACCTCCACCTGGGAACTAGGATCATGAATTCCAACAACCATCGGATCGAGAGAATGACTCTTGCCACGAGGATCGAACAGTGAGGATGGAATAGAGCTAAATGGTGTTAGATTGATAAAATTTTAAAAACGGTAAGAGAGAAGAAATTCGATATTATGAGCTTCGTACTCATGAAACGATGGCTGAGTTCCAAACGACGCATTGTAGTTGGCCTCATGTGAAACAGATCGGTTATGTTGTGGAACTCTGCAGAGCGCCTACTTTATATAACAACCAACATAATAACTGGAACATTTCAAAATGCAAGTGATGCACATAAAATTGACAACAAATCATGAAACTAACGTAAAAGCTGGATCGGGCATGGGAGGGATAGCTGAAATTGATTTTGAATGATGATGAGTGATCACTTGAGGAACAGGCACAGGCCTAAAAAATGTTTCCTTCCTCGTCATTTAAAATTTTGTAAAGATATTACTTTATGAGAGGCGAGTGTGGAACTGCTAGTTAAAGGTACTCTGCGACAAACAAGGGTCATTAGATGGATTTCATGCTCCGGGTCAATCTCCCACTCCTCCTGGAACGGCATACTGGTATCAGACTTGTCTGAGTAGATAAAGTAGACTGACTTAAGGTAGGCCAGACCACGGCAAGTCATGAAACAAATAAGTTTTCCAGTTAAATAGACTATGAAATTCTGTGTCATTTGCGACTCTTATCTCACTATCAACTTACATGCACTTATTTTTTTTGTAACTTGTCCACGGACCGAACAGGCCAATGAACGAATAATAAATCAAACTGTCTTTGTTCTCTATGTACCTCTCGTGTGGTAAGGACGCATCAAACTAAGCAGAAAGATTAAGTAAACGTGAACTCTATTAAAAGGCGATTTCATTCCCATTTTTTTTTTGTTTTCAAAAATTTTCGTAAAGTCACCAATTGGACGGAGATAAATACTCTAACGATACCAAATGAATATAGTACGAACCGATTGTACAGGTCAATATGATGAGTGTCAAGTTCCGGCGCGCTCGCTTGTTTTTTATGGAAAGGAGATGAAATCTGAAATACGACTGTAAACAATTTACTTACTAAGTACAGTCAATTCTGAAACTAAGATTTACAGTTATAATTAAACACTACTTGTTCATCTAAAAAGGTAGAAAAGCGAGCGCAAAATGGATGGATAAGTCCAAAATGAAGATGAACAACACGTTCTGTGGCGGGATGCATTTACGACATCTACCCGGCTAATTTTTGGAAGCTGCTAGATATAGTAGATAAAAGATTTTCGATTTCATACATGGAACATTTTAAGAGGTAAGCATTTTTAACAGCATCAGGATTTCGTGGGAACTTTAAAGATACTGATTATAAAGAAATTTCAAAAACCTAAATAACAGTACAGTACATCCCTCTCAGTAAAACACTATCCTTGGAATACTTAACGACAATTCTACGAATACGAAAGAACGTCGTTGAGATCAGTCAGCTACTGCATGGGTCGACAGCTTTAGGTTCAAATAAATGTTGGATCATTCCAAAAAAGTTGGTTTGTATTGTATCAATGTGCTTGTCGTTACATGAGTTGTATGTCTTTCAATGAATTATTTGTAGTATTTTACAAAACAAATACGTTAAAACTTATCTGTGCCATAATGAAAAAATTCCAAGAATAAAGTGATTTTTGTTGTAACGCTTTTATAAACATATGAAAGGAAACAAGCGAATTAAACACCAATCATTAACATAGTTCATGCTCTTAAAGAAGAACACCGTAACTGGTCAAAACCACAATACTTCTTAAATCCTCTGAGATTCATAATCGCCTATATTTAATCGTAGCTCGACGAAAGTGCATATGACCAGCTTCATTGTGGACAAGACTTTTTAAGTACTACTACTTACAAAACAATAATCGAAGTACAGTTAGACTATTTCGCAGCATGGTAAGGGAAGCGATGAATTCATATGCTAACTTGGTTATTGAGGAAAACTTTGATTGAGATAAGCAGCAAGTGAGTATGCCTACCTGTTGACTTCCACTCGGACTCAGAGCATTGCGCCCAGCGTTACTCATCCCGTCGTCGCTACTGCCTTGCGGTGAGTGACCAGCTGAACTGCCACGTGGACGGGGTTTTGGAGCGTAGTACGCCATTGGAAATTTCTGTCAAAAAAACTGACAACGATTTACTTAAATTGATGTTCTCACAAAGTACTGATTATGGGGTCGAATTTGTTTTACGATGAAGAAACCAATGAAATTCGATAAAGATAGTCATTTCTACTCCAATTTATTGAATGAACAAATATTAGCGAAAACTTTCACAAGATTATTTGAAGCGTTATACTTCCCTAAATTTTATTAGTACTGTCTTGTACTTCTTGCTGTTCTTCAACGACAACGCTTATCGGTCTTTCTGTCACTCTGGTAAATGAAACTCAGCGAAATCAATCGGTGGGATTAGCGACACAATGTTCTTATCGGTGTACGTTCAATTTCTTTGTTCAAGCCAGAAAACCGTAGGAAGCAATTCCTATGGAAGAAAGTTCTCTAGAATCGAATAAACACCTGAGTACTACTTCGTGTGAGCAGAAGTACTGAGATACATTGAAAAAAACTTCTTCGTTGAATATCTTCCTCCTACTCTACATGTAACATAACGAAATCTACTCTGCTTTTACCATTTAGGAAATAGTATCAGGTAATCCCTCAATCACAAGATTCATTCAATTTTTCTCCCATAATGAACCTTAAAAATTAGAACTAACATAACGAAACAAAAGTGAAGAACAAAACAGATCATCCTACCCTATTTGGCTTTCTCTCATACAGTTTCCCGTCGCTAACACGTCCAGCCTGAAATAATTCGTCGATGCTCTTGTTGGTGTCGACGTAGGTGTACACCTCGAAAACTGACGGCCCTGGTGCCGCCGTTGACATCTTATGTTGTTTCGTCTTCTTCGAAGCCATCACACCTGTGCCAGTAAATCATGACACTGTCAAACCATCATCAGAATCAATCATGCATCTGACGAAACAGAAGAACAATCACAAGAACTAAATGAACTAACTGTTTTGTAGAACTAATGAATGACACAATGAATAGAATGGGTGGAGACCGTTGATATTTTCATCGTGGATAACAAATCATCCCTCGATACAGGCCCGGAAAAAAAAGAGAACACCGCACTGCTTCCGTTCACAGTGTCATATTTCGGTATTTCGATTTCGAATTTTTCTAATACCAGTTGGCCAATGAGATCACAGTTGCCCGCTGTTCAACACAAGCAATGAGAAACACATGAGTCAGAAATATGAAGCGGTCTGCGATTACAATAAAATGAACGATGTCGAAGATGGTTCGATAAGATGTCAGTAGCAATGCAAATTTACGTACGAGTTCATTATCTCTTCACGTCTATCTTTATATCGATGATACCAAAAACGAAATGAATAGAAAAAAGAAGATTTTTTTATACGCACTCGGCAACGATGTGAAAGCATTTCACAGCAGAGAATCTCAAGTGAAGACGCCGAAAAGTCATAGATGGAGCTTAAGTACGTTGGTTATTGTTGGCACCGACTTGAACCAGCTTCTCTGATGACTTTAGTTGCAATGTATCATAAACCCTTCGTATGTTATGCTAGTTTGACAACTGCTGATATCTGATACCACCGTCACGGAAGTGCTTTGTAACTGAAATTCGTGACGGCAAAACAAAAATTGATTGAGAAAGTGCTTGAGAGGAAATTCAGATCTAAGTTTTTCAATATTATCTACTTAAATCGTAATCATTGTCAAAATTCCTTTTGATGGTGATGAAAACAATTATCATGTGAGTGAGGATGCAATGGAAAAGCTGTCTTTACAGCTTGATTATCCAGAAAAAGCTTAGGGAACTGAAGTTTTGTATTCATCTGTTCTTGAACACTTGAACACCCGATGAAATGAAAAAGCACGATGAATAAGTGCAGAACAACCTCATCAACGTGCGAGTGTTGACGATACGTCCGTTAATAAGCGCGTTTTGAATCACCTCAGTGATAAGCCACAAACGCTCTTCAAAACCACGTCCCACAACCATCGAACAACGGATCCAGTATGCCAATTATGGTAACGCTACAACAACCACGACCACCTCCACCACTGCTAGCACAACTACCAACATCATGACAATGATCACCATGAAATTAAGCAATCCGCGCAATGTGACAATTTCAGTAGTAACTCGGCAGCAAGGATGTTCGTACGCAACGAAACGGTGATTATGCGAAAATACGTGTCAATCCTGAACCCCATCATGAATCCTACTGTATTGCGTGTTGGTGGTGGTGTCGTGTAGGCCGGAAGCCATAGCGACAATATGGCGCCAAAACTAATGATATAGAGAGGTAGAGGACATGATACACTATGGACTACGGCAACATAGAAAGAGAAATAAGCAGATATTTAGTAGTAGATGCATGGCGTAATCTAGACGAAAAAGGAATAACATGAAGTCAGATCGAGTATTGCAAGTTACAAGTCCCATAATTATAACTGAAATTATTAATTAAGAAGAAAATACGCCTCTTTTAACAATGACAGTACGGATCGGAGATAAGACCGAAGAAAGAGCAACAAAGGTAAACAAGCCGGTAAAAAACGAGTTCACTAATGGATTCGAACGAAAATTAAAGAAAAAAGAAATACCTCTCCGATACCTATTTCTTATGAATTCACCATGGACATAAGATGTAGCGAATAGAAAAGAACGTGGAGAAAAAATCGAAATTGAAGTGCAATGAACTGACATGTTCAATTCCGAATTGGTGGAAAATCTGAGCGATTTGCAAAGCTTAACATGTGAAAGAATGACACTTCAAAACGAATAGAAACAATCTCGAAATAGATACTACTGTCGGTTATGGAAAAAAAGGATCCGAGAAAAAAAAGAGAAGAAACTAAATTTCAAAAATTTTACATAACACCGCAATCCGATGAAAATCAAGTGGTAATTACGTAGGCTTAGCTTTTTCTGTATTTGATTATGGAGGTGTTTCGTCGGGTGGATCGCAGTCAACTTGACCCTTCCTTGTTCTGAGGAAGGCGAAATCCGCCGAAACGTCAGCTTGGGCGTAAATGAAGAAATAAAATAACACCTCGTGTTTGCTCAACAAGAACATAAAGAATTGTTTGATCAATGCTGAGGTTAATAGATAGTCGGTCATGGGAGTTATCAAGTAGTGATTTAGAGTTTAAAAAACCTGACACCTACAAATGTGGAAGTTTCACTACAGTACATCATAAAAATAAAGAATGCACACCTACGGTTAGCAGGCAGTAAAGTGTAATTTGAAGGATGTACTATCGGCCGATAGTTTCCTATTGTTTTTCTTTCGTTAACGATTGTGATAACGTTGTCTAAGAACTTCACTACCTGTATGTAATGTAGAAAAGCTAAAACGCGATCATTTTCGTACAGTAGCACAGTAGATCAGAGAATGTTTCAAATCTTATTGGGTCAAATATGAGGCAAAACACAGTAATGCGCTCATTGGCTCCATTTTCTGAGGCATTTGATAAGTCAACTGTAAACATTAGCAGTGGATGAGTGTAACGTAAAAATGAAGCATTTAAACAAGCAAAAAGTAAAAACAAAAACAATTATGAAGTGGAAAATTAGTGAGGAATCTCTTCGACGAACACCAGACAAGTTTCTGAAAAGGTCCGCGCCGAGACGTATTCAGTTACAATTTGTTAAATGTAATCTAAAATCATTTGTATTCTCTATAGTTTCATTAGTCATCGAGTAACTCCAACAGGGTCTAAAAAATAATGTGTTCGTCATTTTCGCGAGTCAGAGGTATTCAGTGGGTTCGGATGCCTTGAATGACACAAATAGCATCATGGTTTCACTACGCTCCACTTTATTTTCAAAGTTTTCTTTTACCGAAATGGTACCCATCAATACCTCGTTGGAATCTGCCTTCGCATAGGTTTAGTACTAGGAGGTCATCGGATGTAATTATAAAATACTCAAAGACTATTGATTTAAATATGAATTTTCCGCTCTAAAAGCTCGATGTGAAGATTGAGTAATGTTCATAGAGGCGATTTCAAGTGATATAGAAGTAAATCGGTAGTGGTGGTAATGATGGTGGAGATGAAGGCAGACGTTGTAGTGATGGTGCACAGTGGTAGGTTTGTCTGAGGCGTTTAACTCCCGTGTCGAGGCAAGGTCGTACTAGCGAGACCAGCGAGCGAAATTTCCTGCTACACTACACCTGTACTTCGTAGTTATGGACTTCATAAGCATTGTGGAATATCCTAAGCATTCGAAAAAGACAAAACATCTACACATTAGACATTCTTATCACGAAAAGCCTATGTGAAAAACTCCTATCAATGTGGTCATTTCCACTGCGACTTAGATATTTCCAGAAGGTTTACAATTGTTACAATAATTTCATGAAACGGAGTAATCAAGTGGAACGACAGAAGCATTGCACCATTCGAAACGGATGCACACTGGAGTTTTCGTAGTTCTTCGTACGATGTACAATACATCGTTTTCAATACTCTGCCTCATGGAAAATGCGAGTCCGAATGCTTCGAAACTTTCAAGGTTACCTACTATTCAAGCAGATATAGATATACACATTAAATCTTTCGTTATCCGAGTTTCCTGCACTTTAGTGGTGATTGTAGTTGCGAAAACAACTTAAGGAACTAAACTATCACTTATGCATCGTCATCGATGGTGTGAACAATATACCTCCAAGTGTCGAAGATAATAGTAGTAAGGCGGTAGAACCTTGTGAGGCCTTTAACTCGTATAAGAAGGCAAGGTCGTCGTTGTAGTCACTCGGCCCGATCACCGCTGATCGTACGTTTATGTACACAAACACATCTATATATCTAGAGACATATACACATGCATACATTACAAATATACATACATACCTACATATCTATCCCAATAATGTCTCTATGATTTAAATCACTCATTTTCATGACATTAATGGCTTACACAATGGTAGTTTATAAATTTCTGCTAAAACAATTGGAAATAGAAAAAGAATATGTTTGTCTCGGTTAGACAGACAGACAGACGGATAGACAGACATGCACAGACAGAAAGGCGCACATATTCACATGCACATATATATATACATGCGTACATACATACATACATGATATTCATACACTCATACATACGTACAAAGATACATACATACATGGACACAAATATATTACATACACACATTCACTTAAGACATACATGCACATACACACAAACACACAAGACCGATATATATATATATATATATATATATATATAGAAACAAAGATGCTGAAACACTTTACTAAAACATTTACTGCCGATGATTGTTTATTCAACGCCACTCATGCCAATAGAAAGGCAAAAGGGACTACTTGATAGCGATTGAAGAACTATTTTATCGCAGTATTCACCTTCCGATGACATCATCGTCCAGTTAAGGAAAATGACGTTCGTTCAGATTCAGACGGTTACAACGGTAAGCATGACGAACATACCTCTCGTCAGACGGTCGACCTAGAAACGATGACGGTAATGAAGATCTTCGAGGCGAATGCTAGGTAGATTTTCCATCGTGGATGCCCGCGTCAGTGTCTGCATTCCATGATCATGTCACTGTCAATTTCAGAAGCTCGTCTGACGATGATTCATAGATGGCAAGGAGGAATACGATGAATCTGGCCCCATGAAAAAGAGCTACACCATCAGCACTGCCACTGACTGGTAACGGAAGAAGGAAGAGAAGAAGTGGTAAGGTCATTTATACTGTTGCGAAAAAGTACGTGTCACTCGACGCGAGTCGATGCATACATAGCACGAGGAAACTGAAAGCTAAACTAAAAACAGTGAAACGCTAGAAATTCAAAAACCAAACGCTCCAAAGCATTTGAAGATCACAAAACCTTCGCGCTAACTTGTAAATTA